GCAAGCCACGCCTCTTTATGCAAATAAAGAGTCCATATGTGGGGGGATGTGGGTGTGGTCACACATTTGCATAAAGGGGTGTGGCTACAACAAGCCACATAGTGTGTGTGTCTGGAGCATCCAAACCACGCCCCTTTATGCAAATTGCCCCATTTATCTTTGTTTTTCCCTTTTCTTTCCCCCCGCACTCCATTTTCTCCCTGTTTTCCCCCATTTTCCCCCATTTTTTCCCCATTTTTTTGTGGTTTTCTTCCCCATTTTTTTCCCATTTTTCCCCTATTTTTCCACCATTTTTTCCCCATTTTTTTCCATTTTAATGGGTTTTTTTACCCATTTTTTTGCCATTTTTTCTTTTATTTCTTCTCCTTGCTTTTCCCCATATTTTTTCCCAATTTCCCCCCATCTTTTCCCCCATTTTCCCCCATTTTTCCCCATTTTTCCCCATTTTTTTTTTTATTTCTTCCCCTTGCCTTTCCCCATATTTTTTCCCATTTTCCCCATTTCCCCCATTTTTCCCCATTTTCCCCCATTTTTTCCCCATTTTTTCGCCCCCTGCCCCATTTTTCCCCTATTTTTTCCCATTTTCTCCCATTTTTCACTTTTTTCCCCCATTTTTCCCCCGTTTCCAGCCCCGGCAGTGACCAACGAGGCGCTGCTGTTCCACGAGAAGTGCGGGGCCCTCATCAAACTCAGCAACGGGCACAAAACGGCCGAGAGGAGGCGGCCCCTGGACGAGTTCAACAAACGGCGTGGTGCTCACCAACCGGCCCCTCAGGGACGGGGAGATGTTTGAGGTGGGAATTTTAAAATTTTGGGGAAATTTTTGGGAATTTTTTGGGAGTTTCTGGGATTTATTTTGATTTTTTTGGTAATTTTTCGGTGATTTATTCTGATTTTTTGGGATTTTTTTGTGGGTTTTAGAGGTTTTTTTTGATTTTTTTCAGGGATTTTTTGTGAATTTGTTTTGAGTTTTTCAGAAAGTGTCTTTTCGTTTTCTGGGATATTTTTATTTAATTTATATTATGGGATTTTGTTGGGATTTTAGGGGGCTTTGGGGTGATTTTGGGATATTTTGGGATGAGGCAGCCCCTGGACGAGTTCAACAACGCGTTGTGCTCACCAACAGACCCCTCAGGGACGGGGAGATGTTTGAGGTGGGAATTTTTCTTTTTTTTTGGGAATTTGGGGATTTTTTCTGTGATTTTTTTGGGGATGTTTTGAGATTTTTGGGGATTTTTTTGATTTTTCGCTGAGTTTTTGGGGATTATTTTGCGGATTTTCTAGGATTATTTTGGGATTTTTCTGACATTTATTTTGGATTTCTTTCAGAGTTTTTTTTGTTTTCTGGGATTTTTTTATTTTGATTGGATTTTTTGGGGATTTTTGGGGGGAATTTTAGGGGATTTTGGGGTTATGGGAGGAGGTGGCCCCTGGATGAGTTCAACAACGGCGTGGTGCTCACCAACCGGCCCCTCAGGGATGGGGAGATGTTTGAGGTGGGAATATTTTATTTTTTTGGATTTTTGGGCATTTTTTTCTGTGATTTTTTTTGGAATTTTTTGGATTTTTTTTTTTTTAATTTTTTAATTTTTTTAATTATTTTTGGGCATAATGATTTTGACCACCTGAGCCCGTGTCCCCCCCAGATCCGCATCGACAAACTGGTGGACAAATGGTCGGGGTCCATCGAGATCGGGGTCACCGCCCACAACCCCAACAGCCTCGAGTACCCGGCCACCATGACCAACCTGCGCTCGGGTGAGCCCCAAAAACACCCCAAAACCACCCCAAAATCCTGGGGAAATCACCCCAAAATCCTGGGAAAAACACCCCAAAATCCTGGGGAAAAAATCCTAAAAAATCCTGGGAAAACATCCCCAAAAATCCCGGGAAATAGCCCCTAAAAATTTCAGGAAATCTCCTCAAAAATCCTGGGGAAAACACCCCAAAAATGTCAGGAAACAGCCCCAAAACTTGTAGGAAATATCCCCAGAAATCCTGGGGAAAAAATCCTAAAAAATCTCAGGGAAAATCCCCCAAAAATTCTGGAAATTCTTCCCCTCGAGTACCCGGCCACCATGACCAACCTGCGCTCAGGTGAGCCCCAAAATCCTAGGAAATAGCCCTAAAATCTTGAGAAATATCTGCAAAAAGTCGCAGGGAAAATACCCCAAAAATCCTGGGAAATAGCCTTAAAAATCCTGAGGAAAACACCCCAAAAATCTCAGGAAACAGCCCCAAAAATCCTGGGAAACATCTCCAAAAAACCCCAGGGAAAACACCCCAAAAATTCTGGGAAATTGCCCCCTTGAGTACCCGGCCACCATGACCAACCTGTGCTCAGGTGAGCCCCAAAACCACGGGAAATCACCCCAAAAATGCTCGGAAAATATCCCTGAAGTCCCAGGAAAAATACCCCAAAATCCGGAGAAATAGCTCCAAAAATTCGGGGAAATCACCTCAAAAATCCTGGGAAAACAGCCCCAAAAATCCTGGGGAAAATCCCCAAAAACCTCTGAAAAATCTCTTGAAGTTTCCAAAAAAAGGCTTCAAAATCTCTGGAAAATGCCCCAAAATCCCCAGAGAAATCCCTTAAAATTTTTGCAAATCCCTCAAAATCTCTGAAAAATCTTTTAAAATTTCCAGGAAATGCCCCAAAATCCCCCCAAAAAAAGGCCCAAAATCCACAAAAAAGCCCCAAAATCCTTGGAAAATTCCCTGAAAATGCCCCAAAATCCCCAGAAATATCCCAAAATCCCCATAAAATGCCCCAAAATGCCCCAAAATGTGAATTTTGCCCCAGGCACGATCATGATGAGCGGCTGCGGGATCCTGACCAACGGCAAAGGGACGCGCCGGGAGTACTGCGAGTTCAGCCTGGACGAGCTGCAGGTGACCCCAAAAAAGCCCAAAATCCACCCAAAATCCACCCACGGGACCCCCAAAATCTGATCCGGGCACCCCAAAAATGGGGGTAACCCCGGACACCCCCAAAATCCCAAAAATCCCCTAAAAAAAAATCCCTTTGTTTTGTGGAAATTTCAATTGTTTTACCCCCCAAATTTCTCATTTTAAACCCCAAAATCCCCCAAAACTCCCCCAAAATTCACCCACAGGATCCCCAAATGTTGATCTGGGCACCCCAAAATTGGGGGGAGCCCCAGACACCCCAAAATCCCAAAAATCCCCTAAAAAATCTCCTTGAGATGCAGAAATTCTGATAATTTTACTTCAGAGATTTTTATTTTTGGAGCCCCAAAATTTCTCCAGATCCACCCAAAATCGACCCACGGCATCCCCAAATCCTCCTCTGAACCCCCAAAATTTCTGGGGTGCCCCCAAAATTTCCCTTCCCCCGTTGTCCCTATCCCATCCTGGGGACCATTTTGGGGTGAATTTTGGGGTTTTGGGGTGAATTTTTGGGAGTTTTGGGATGAATTTTGGGGGTGAATTTTGGGCTGACTTTGGGGGATTTTGGGGTGAATTTGGGGGGGTTTTGGTGTGACTTTGGGGGTAAATTTGGGGGTTTTGGGGTAAATTTGGGGGTTTTGGGGTGACTTTGGGAGTAAATTTGGGGGGTGAATTTTGGGGGATTTTGGGGTGAACTTGGGGGGTTTTGGGGTGAATTTTTCGGTGAATTTGGGGGGTTTTGGGGTGATTATGAGGGGTTTTGGGGATTTTGGGGTGAATTCTGGCAGTTTTGGGGTCGGGGTGACCCCGGCTGTCCCCGCAGGAGGGCGACCACATCGGGCTGACCCGCAAGGCCAACAACGCCCTGCACTTCTACATCAACGGCGTGGACCAAGGTGGGGACCCCAAAACACCCCGAATTCACCCCAAAATCCACCCCAAACCCCCGCTGTAAATGGGGATCCCAGAACTGATCCCCTGCACTTCTACATCAACGGCGTGGGACCAAGGAGGGGACCCAAAACACCCCAAATTCACCCCAAAATCCATCCCCAAATACCCCAAATTCACCCCAAAATCCATCCCCAAACCAGGCACCCAGAGCTGACCCCAAAACCCACCCAAAAACCCCCAAATTCAGCCCAAAAATCCACCCCAAACCCCCACTGTAAATGGGGATCCCAGAACTGATCCCCTGCACTTCTACATCAACGGCGTGGACCGAGGTGGGGCCCCAAAAACCCCCAAATTCAGCCCAAAACCCACCCCAAAGCAGGATCCTGAAAAGCCCCAAATTCACCCCAAAATCCATCCCAAACTCACCCCAAAACTGACTCAGAACCCCCCCTGTAAATGGGGATCCCAGAACTGATCTCCTGCACTTCTACGTCAATGCCGCGGACCAAGGTGGAGCCCCAAAAACCCGCACATCCACCCCAAAAATCCACCCTAACACTCACTTTGAAGCAGGATCCCCCAAACCCCAAATTCACCCCCAAAAACCCCCAAAGTCACCCCAAAACCCGTCCTAAAAATCCCCAAATTCACCCCAGAACTGACCCCGAAACCCACCCCAAACCAGGCACCCAGAGCTGACCCCAAAAAGCCCCAAAATCACCCCAAAAAACCCCAAATCCACCCCTGGTGTCCCCCGTGTCCTTGCCACGTCCCTGGTGGCGCCACTGCCGCGTCCCCATGGCTGTCCCTGCTGTCCCCAGTGCCACCGCTGCCACGTCTCTGCTGTCCCGTGTCCCTGTGGTGTCCCCATGTGCCCAGGGCCACCACCGTGTCCCCACGTCCTTGCTGTCCCCAAGGTGTCCCCAAGGTGTCCCCGTGTCACAGGCGTGGCCACGTCGCTGACGCCGCAGGTGGTGCACGGCGTGGTGGCCCTGTATGGGATGGCCGTGTCCCCATGTCCCCAGTGCCACCATCGCCGTGTCCCCAGTGCCACGCCCATATCCCTACTGTCCCTGCTATCCTGGTGTCCCTGCTGTCCCCACGTGTCCCCATGTCCTTTGGTGTCCCCATGTCCCTCCCGCAGGTGTGGCCACGTCGCTGACGCCGCAGGTGGCGTACGGCGTGGTGGATCTCTACGGCGTGGCCGTGTCCCCATGTCCCTGCCATGTCCCCACAATGTCCCCAGTGCCACCACCATGTCCCCACAATGTCCCCTTGTCCCCCTGTCCAGGTGTGGCCACGTCGCTGACGCCGCAGGTGGCGTACGGCGTGGTGGATCTCTACGGCGTGGCCGTGTCCCCGTGTCCCTGTGTCCCTGCCATGTCCCATATCCCTGTGGTGTCCCCACAATGTCCCCATGTCCCATTTGGTGTCCCCGTGTCACAGGTGTGGCCACATCGCTGACGTGTACGGCGTGGTGGATCTCTACGGCATGGCCGTGTCCCCGTGTCCCCATTGTCCCCATGTCCCTGCTGTCCCCGTGTCCCCACCATGTCCCCACAATGTCCCCATGTCCAGGTGTGGCCACGTCGCTGACGCCGCAGGTGGTGTACGGCGTGGTGGATCTCTACGGCATGGCCGTGTCCCCATTGTCCCCATGTCCCTGCCATGTCCCCGTGTCCCCACCATGTCCCCATGTCCCCATGTCCAGGTGTGGCCACGTCGCTGACGCCGCAGGTGGTGTACGGCGTGGTGGATCTCTACGGCATGGCCGTCAAGGTGACCATCGTGCACAACCACAACCACAGCGACCGCCTGCGCCGCAACAACGCCATCCTGCGCGCGCTGTCCCCCGAGGGCACGGCGGGGACGCCGCGCCGCGCCGCCGCCACCAACGGCGCCAACGGCACCGGCGCCACCGGCGCGCCGCCGCCCCGGCTGCTGTTCCACCCCAACTGCGGCCAGAAGGCGGCCGTGGTCAACGAGGGCCGGACGGCGCTGCGGCCGCAGTGAGTGACCGCGGGGACACGGGGACAGAGGGGACATTGGGGACATTGGGGACATGGGGACAGAGGGGACATTGGGGACATTGGGGACATTGGGGACATTGGGGACATGGGGACAGAGGGGACATTGGGGACATTGGGGACATTGGGGACAGAGGGGACATTGGGGACACTGGGGACATGGGGACATTGGGGACATTGGGGACATTGGGGACATGGGGACATTGGGGACATTGGGGACATGGGGACGTTGGGGACATTGGGGACACTGCCACATTGGGGACACTGGGTACATTGGGGACATTGGGGACGTTGGGGACATGGGGACAGAGGGGACATTGGGGACATTGGGGACATTGGGGACATGGGGACAGAGGGGACATTGGGGACATTGGGGACATGGGGACAGAGGGGACATTGGGGACATGGGGACAGAGGGGACATTGGGGACACTGCCACACTGGGGACATTGGGGACATTGGGGTCAACGAGGGCCGGACGGCGCTGCGGCCACAGTGAGTGACCGCGGGGACGTGGGGACGGTGGGGACATGGGGGACACTGCGGATACTGCCACATTCGGGACATTGGGGACATCGGGGTCAATGAGGGCCGGACGGCGCTGCGGCCACAGTGAGTGACCATGGGGACATGGGGACATTGGGGACATTGGGGACATTGGGGACATTGGGGTCAACGAGGGCCGGACGGCGCTGCGGCCGCAGTGAGTGACCGTGGGGACACGGGGACATGGGGACATTGGGGACATGGGGACATTGGGGACATTGGGGACATTGGGGTCAACGAGGGCCGGACGGCGCTGCGGCTGTAGTGAGTGACCGCGGGGACACTGGGGGGATTGGGGGGATTGGGGATGTAAGGGACATTGGGGACATTGGGTATATTGGGGACAACGAGGGCTGGACGGTGCTGTGGCTGCAGTGAGTGACCATGGGGACATGGGGACATTGGGCATGTCAGGGACATTGGGGTCAGTGAGGACTGGATGGCGCTGTGGCCACAGTGAGTGACCACAGGGACAGTGGGCACAGAGGGGGGACATTGGGGACATTGGGGACATTGGGGACATTGCAGATATTGGGGATAGTGGGGTCAACAAGGGGACTGGGGACTTTGGGGGGACTGGGGACACTGGGGACATTGGGGACATCGGGGTCAGTGAGGGCTGGACGGCACTGCGGCCACAGGGAGTGACCATGGGGACAGTGGGGACCAAGGGGGGACATTGAGGACATTGGGAATATTGGGGACATCAGGGACACTGGGGACATTGGGGGGATTGGGGACAGAAGGAGTACCCTGGGGGAATTGGGGACATTGTCCCCTCTGTCCCCAGTGCCACGGATGACTTCAACCGCGGCGTGGTGCTGAGCGCGCGGCCCCTCGGGGACAACGAGTGTCCCGGTGTCCCCACGGTGTCCCTGTGTCCCCAATGTCCCCAGTGTCCCCATGGTGACAGTGCTGTCCCCAATGTCCCCAGTGCCACGGATGACTTCAACCACGGCGTGGTGCTGAGCGCGCGGCCCCTCGGGGACAACGAGCTGTTCCAGGTGCGCCTGGACAAGATGGTGGACAAGTGGGCGGGGTCCATCGAGATCGGCGTCACCACCCACAACCCCGCCTACCTGCAGCTGCCGTCCACCATGACCAACCTGCGCTCAGGTGTGTCCCCTGTGTCACCTCTGTGTCACCTGTGTGTCACCTGGGTCACCTCAGTGTCCCCATTGTCCCCACCCCAACCCCGCCTACCTGCAGCTGCCATCGACCATGGCCAACCTGCGCTCAGGTGTGTCACCTGGGTCACCTGGGTCACCTCAGTGTCCCCTGTGTCACCTCAGTGTCCCCTGTGTCACCTCAGTGTCACCTGTGTCACCTCAGTGCCACCTCAGTGCCACCATCCCAACCCCAGCATGACCAACTCGTGCTCAGGTGTGTCACCTGTGTCCCCAAGGTGACATCCTTGTGTCCCAGAGGTGACATTTCCATTTCCATCAGTAGCACCAATCCCACTGATGTCCCCAACATCCCCAATGTCCCCAAACTCCCCAGCATCCCCCACTGTCCCCAGTGTCCCCCAATGTCGTCAATGTCCCCAATGTCCCCCAATGTCCCCAAAGTCCCCAATCCCCCCAATCCCCTCAATGTCCCCAAAGTCCCCAAAGTCCCCAATGTCCCCCAATGTCCCCACTTTCTCGAATCCCCCCAATGTCCCCAAAGTCCCCAATGTCCCCCAATGTCCCCAATGTCCCTGATGTCCCCAGGCACGTGGATGATGACCGGCAACGGCGTCATGCACAACGGCACCACCGTGCTGGACGAGTACGGCCACAACCTGGACCGCCTCAAGGTGGGGACGCCGCGGCCGCCGGGGCCACCGGGGCGCGGCAGCAGCGCCGTCCCCGCGTCCCCACGGCCATCGCTGTGCCCGCGTCCCCACGGCCGCCCCTGTCCCCGCGTCCCCATGGCCGTCCCTGTCCCCGCGTCCCCACGGCCATCGCTGTCCCCATGTCCCCACGGCCATCGCTGTCCCCGCGTCCCCACGGCTGTCGCTGTCCCCATGTCCCCACGGCCATCGCTGTCCCCGCGTCCCCACGGCCATCGCTGTCCCCGCGTCCCCACGGCCATCGCTGTCCCCATGTCCCCACGGCCGTCGCTGTCCCCATGTCCCCACGGCCGCGCCTGTCCCCATGTCCCCACGGCCATCGCTGTCCCCATGTCCCCACGGCCGTCGCTGTCCCCGCGTCCCCATGGCCGTCCCTGTCCCCGCGTCCCCACGGCCATCGCTGTCCCCGCGTCCCCACGGCCATTGCCGTCCCCACGGCCGTCGCTGTCCCCGCGTCCCCATGGCCGTCCCTGTCCCCGCGTCCCCACGGCCATCGCTGTCCCCGTGTCCCCACGGCCATCGCTGTCCCCGCGTCCCCACGGCCGTCCCTGTCCCCGTGTCCCCACGGCCATTGCCGTCCCCACGGCCGTCCCTGTCCCCATGTCCCCACGGCCGCGCCTGTGCCCGCAGGCGGGGGACACGGTGGGCGTGGTGCGCAGGGACGATGGCACCCTGCACTTCTTCGTCAACGGCGTCGCCCAGGGGCCCGCGGCCTGGAACGTCCCCCCCAACGTCTACGCCGTGGTGGATCTGTACGGGCAGGCGGCGCAGGCCACCATCGTGGACGAGGGAGGTGGGTGGCACCTTGGGGACATCGGGGACGTCGGGGGGACTGGGGACACTGGGGACATTGGGGGGATTGGGGACACTGGGGACATTGGGGGGATTGGGGACATTGGGGATATTAGGGACATCGGGGACATTGAGGGGATTGGGGACATCGGGGACATTGGGGGTCAGGATCTGTACGGGCAGGCGGCGCAGGCCACCATCGTGGACGAGGGAGGTGGGTGGCACCTTGGGGACATCGGGGGGATTGGGGACACTGGGGTAATGGGGACATTGGGGACATCGAGGACATTGGGGACATGAGGAAAATTCGGTGTTTTGGGGACACAAAAAATCTTGAAGAACTTTGGGGACCTTGAGAGCATTGGGGACACCAGGGGACCTTGGGGACACCGGGGGACATTGGGGACACCAGGGGACATTGAGGGACACCGGGGGACCTTGGGGACAACAGGGGTCATTGAGGGACACCGGGGGACATTGGGGACACCGGGGGACCTCGGGGCGGCCGCGGGACCCCGAGCGCGGCCCCTCACGCCGCGCGGTGTCCCCAGAGGCGCCGGCGCCGCCGGGGGCCGGCTCGGAGGGCGGCAGCGCCGGGGGCAGCCCCGAGGGCGCCTCCCCGGGCGCGTCCCCGAGCGACCTGCGCTTCCACCGGCTGCACGGCGCCAACGCCGTCATCACCAACGGCGGCCGCACGGCGCTGCGCCAGAACTGCCGCTCCGAGTTCAACGACGCCATCGTCATCTCCAACCGGTGAGCGCACACAAAATCCTTAACAGTCCCCCAGAAAGTCCGCTCAGAAACAGCCAAATCCCAGAAAACCCCATTAAAATCCCAGAAAACCCCGTTAAAATACCCCAAACATGGCCAGAACGGCCGCTCCGAGTTCAACGACGCCATCGTCATCTCCAACCGGTGAGCGCACACAAAATATCCCAAAAATCCTTAAAAAACCCCCAAAAAATCCACCCAGAAATGGTGGAAACCCAAAAAACCCCATTAAAATACCCCAAACCTGCCCCAAACCCGGCCAGAACGGCCGCTCCGAGTTCAACGACGCCATCGTCATCTCCAACCGGTGAGCGCACACAAAATCCTTAACAATCCCCCAAAAAGTCCGCTCAGAAACAGCCAAATCCCAGAAAACCCCATTAAAATCCCAGAAAACCCCGTTAAAATACCCCAAACCCGGCCAGAACGGCCGCTCCGAGTTCAACGACGCCATCGTCATCTCCAACCGGTGAGCGCACCCAAAATATCCCAAAAATCCTTAAAAAACCCCCAAAAAATCCACCCAGAAATGGTGGAAACCCAAAAAACCCCATTAAAATACCCCAAACCTGCCCCAAACACGGCCAGAACGGCCGCTCCGAGTTCAACGACGCCATCGTCATCTCCAACCGGTGAGGGGACCCAAAATCCTTAGAAATCCCCCAAAAAATCCACTCAGAAACAGCCAAATCCCAAAAAAACCCATTAAATTCCCAAAAAACCCCGTTAAAATACCCCAAACTGGCCCAAAACCCAGCCCCGACCCGGCCAGAACGGCCGCTCCAAGTTCAGTGACGCCATCATCATCTCCAACCGGTGAGCAGACCCAAATTCCCAAAAATCCAAAAAAACCCCAAAAAAATCCACCCAGAAATGCCGAAATCCCAAAAAACCCCGGTTAAAATACCCCAAACTGGCCCAAAACCCAGCCCCGACCCGGCCAGAACGGCCGCTCCGAGTTCAACGACGCCATCGTCGTCTCCAACCGGTGAGGAGATCAAAATATCCCAAAAATCAAAAAAATCCCCCCAAAAATCCACCCAGGAATCCCAAAATCCTGAAATCCCAAAACCACGCTGTTAAAATCTCAAAAACCCCGTTGAAATCCCCCAATCCCACCCCAAACCCAACCGTTCCCCATTTGTGGGGTGTCCCACCTCTGAGTTTTGGGGTCATTTTCCCGTTTTTGGGGTCATTTCCCCATTTTTGGGCTGTGGGTTTGGGGTGTCCCCACTTTGATTTTTGGGGTGATTTCCCCATTTTTTTGGTGTCCCATTTTTGGGGTGTCCCCGCTCTGATTTTTGGGGTAATTTCTCCATTTTCGGGGTGTCCTGTTTTTGGGGTATTTCATTTTTGGGGTGTCCCCGCTCTGATTTTTGGGGTAATTTCTCCATTTTCGGGGTGTCCTGTTTTTGGGGTATTTAATTTTTGGGGTGTCCCAGCTCTGATTTTTGGGGTAATTTCTCCGTTTTTGGGGTGATTTCCCCATTTTTGGGGTGATTTCCCCATTTTTGGGGTGTCCCCTTTTTCGGGTGTCCCAGCTCTGATTTTTGGGGTGATTTCCCCATTTTTGGGGTGTCTCCACTATGATTTTTTGGGTGTTACATTTTTGGGGTGTCCCCGCTCTGATTTTTGGGGTGATTTCTCTGTTTTTGGGGTGATTTCTCTGTTTTTGGGGTGATTTCCCCATTTTTGGGGTGTCCCAGCTCTGATTTTTGGGGCGATTTCTCCGTTTTTGGGGTGTCCCAGCTCTGATTTTTGGGGTGATTTCTCTGTTTTTGGGGTGTCCCAGCTCTGATTTTTGGGGCGATTTCCCCATTTTTGGGGTGTCCCAGCTCTGATTTTTGGGGTGATTTCCCCATTTTTGGGGTGACTTCTCCGTTTTTGGGGTGTCGCAGAGCCCTGCGGGACGGGGAGCTGTTTGAGATCGTCATCCAGAAGATGGTGGATCGATGGTCGGGGTCCATCGAGGCCGGTGAGGGGACACTGGGGACACCTGGGGGGACACTGGGGACATTGGGGACATTGGGGACATTGGGGATATTTGGGGACATTGAGGACTTTGAGGACATTGAGGACTTCGGGGACACTGTGGACATTTTGGGACATTTGGGGGTTTGGGGGCATTTGGGGACTTTGGGGACATTGGGGACATTGGGGGGATTGGGGACATTGGGGACATTTGAGGACATTGGAGACACTGGGGACATCAAGATCAGCACAGAGGTGACACCAAGGGATGTGGAGGGACCTTGGGGACACTGGGGACACCCCAGGGTGACAGAGGCGTCCCCGTGTCCCCGCAGGTGTCACCGCCATCCGCCCCGAGGACCTGGAGTTCCCCAACACCATGACAGACATCGACTACGACACCTGGATGCTCAGGTGGGGACACCCGGGGACACCTGGGGCCACCACTGTCCCCAATGTCCCCGTCCCTGTGTCCCCAATGTCCCTGCGTTCCCATGGCTGTGTGTCTGTCCCTGTGTCCCCAATGTCCCTGTGTCCCTGTCCCTGCGTCCCCATGGCTGTATGTCTGTCCCCAATGTCCCTGTGTCCCCATGGCTGTGTGTCTGTCCCCATGACCATGTCAGGGCTGTGTCCCCACAGTGTCCCCATGTCCCCAATGTCCCCAATGGTGTCCCCATGGCAGCGGCACGGCCGTCACGCAGGACGGGAACACCATGCGGAACAACCACGGCTGTGACCTGTCCGTGTGTCCCTCTGTCCCCATGGCTGTGTGTCTGTCCCCAATGTCCCTGTGTCCCCATGGCTGTGTGTCCGTCCCCGTGGCTGTGCCAGGGCTCTGTGGCTGTGTCCCCAGTGATGTCCCCAATGTCCCCACAGCGGCACGGCCATCATGCAGGACGGGAACACCATGCGGAACAACCACGGCTGTGACCTGTCCGTGTGTCCCTGTGTCCCCATGGCTGTGTGTCTGTCCCCGTTCCTGTCCCCGTGGCTGTGTCAGGGCTGCGTGGCTGTGTCCCCAGTGATGTCCCCAATGTCCCCACAGCGGCACGGCCATCATGCAGGACGGGAACACCATGCGGAACAACTACGGCTGTGACCTGGACGCGCTGGGCACGGGGGCGCGGATCGGGATGATGCGCACGGGGGGAGGGGACCTGCGCTACTTCATCGACGGCACCGACCAGGGCGTGGCCTGCTCGGGGCTGCCACCAGGTACGGGGACACGGGGACACTGGGGACACTGGGGACACTGGGGACACTGGGGACACTGGGGACAGCCAGGGCGTGGCCTGCTCGGGGCTGCCACCAGGTATGGGGACATTATGGGACATTGGGGACACTGGGGACACTGGGGACACTGGGGACATTGGGGACACTGGGGACACTGGGGACAGCCAGGGCGTGGCCTGCTCGGGGCTGCCACCAGGTATGGGGACATTATGGGACATTGGGGACACTGGGGACAGCCAGGACATTGAGGACATTGGGGGACATTGGGGACACTGGGGACACTGGGGACAGCCAGGGCGTGGCCTGCTCCGGGCTGCCACCAGGTACGGGGACATTATGGGACATTGGGGACACTGGGGACAGCCAGGACATTGGAGACATTGGGGGACATTGGGGACACTGGGGACACTGGGGACAGCCAGGGCGTGGCCTGCTCGGGGCTGCCACCAGGTACGGGGACACGGGGACACTGGGGACATTGGGGACATTGGGGACACTGGGGACAGCCAGGGCGTGGCCTGCTCGGGGCTGCCACCAGGTACGGGGACACGGGGACACTGGGGACATTGGGGACATTGGGGACACTGGGGACAGCCAGGGCGTGGCCTGCTCGGGCTGCCACCAGGTACGGGGACATTATGGGACATTGGGGACACTGGGGACACTGGGGACACTGGGGACAGCCAGGGCGTGGCCTGCTCGGGGCTGCCACCAGGTACGGGGACATTATGGGACATTGGGGACATTGGGGACACTGGGGACAGCCAGGGCGTGGCCTGCTCGGGGCTGCCACCAGGTATGGGGACATTATGGGACATTGGGGACATTGGGGACACTGGGGACACTGGGGACAGCCAGGGCGTGGCCTGCTCCGGGCTGCCACCAGGTATGGGGACACGGGGACACTGGGGACATTGGGGACACTGGGGACAGCCAGGACATTGGGGACATTGGGGGACACGGGGACACTGGGGACACTGGGGACATCCAGGGCAGTGGGGACATTGGGGACATCCAGGGCGTGGCCTGCTCGGGCTGCCACCAGGTACCCTGGGGACACCGGGGGACACTGGGGACATCCAGGGCATTGGGGACATTGAGGGATTGGGGGCCATCAAGGTGGTGACCCTGAGGTGACAGGTGACACAGGTGACACTCAGGTGACGCAGGTGACACTCAGGTGACACTCGGGTGTGTCCCCAGAGGCGTACGCCGTGGTGGATCTCTATGGTCGGTGTGTCCAGGTGTCCCTGAGCTGACACTGAAGTGACACAGGTGACACACAGGTGACACACAGGTGTCTCTAAGGTGACACAGGTGACACTGAGGTGACACTCAGGTGTGTCCCCGTGTCCCCAGAGGTGTACGCCGTGGTGGATCTCTATGGTCGGTGTGTCCAGGTGTCCCTGAGCTGACACTGAAGTGACACAGGTGACACACAGGTGACACACAGGTGTCTCTAAGGTGACACAGGTGACACTGAGGTGACACTCAGGTGTGTCCCCGTGTCCCCAGAGGTGTACGCCGTGGTGGATCTCTACGGTCAGTGTGTCCAGGTGTCCCTGACCGGCGCCTCCGGCCCCACGGACAACAGCCAGAGCCCGGGGGCGGGGCCCGACAAAGCCCCGCCCCCTTCGCCAGGTACTGGGAGGGGCTGGGAGGGGACTGGGTTGTACTGGGTTATACTGGGAGGGACTGGGAGGGACTGGAAGGTGCCCCCACCCCACTGACCACTGACCACGGCCACTGACCCCTGCCTACACTGACCATCGCACTGACCACACTGACCATCGCACTGACCACACTGACCATCGCACTGACCATCGCACTGACCACTGACCACACTGACCACTGACCACGGCCACTGACCCCTGCCTACACTGACCATCGCACTGACCACACTGACCATCGCACTGACCACACTGACCATCACACTGACCATCGCACTGACCACTGACCATCGCACTGACTGTCACACTGACCATCGCACTGACCGCTGACCACACTGACCACTGACCACGGCCACTGACCCCTGCCTACACTGACCATCGCACTGACCACGCTGACCATCGCACTGACCATTGACCATCGCACTGACCATTGACCACACTGACCATCGCACTGACCACTGACCACACTGACCACTGACCACGCTGACCATCACACTGACCATTGACCACACTGACCATCGCACTGACCACACTGACCCCTGCCTACACTGACCATCGCACTGACCACACTGACCATCGCACTGACCATCACACTGACCACTGACCACACTGACCATCGCACTGACCATCACACTGACCATCGCACTGACCACACTGACCATCGCACTGACCACTGACCCCTGCCTACACTGACCATCGCACTGACCACACTGACCATCGCACTGACCACACTGACCACTGACCACACTGACCATCGCACTGACCATCACACTGACCATCGCACTGACAACACTGACCATCGCACTGACCGCTGACCACACTGACCACTGACCACGGCCACTGACCCCTGCCTACACTGACCATCGCACTGACCACACTGACCATCGCACTGACCGCTGACCACACTGACCACTGACCACACTGACCATCACACTGACCATCACACTGACCGTCACACTGACCATTGACCACACTGACCATCGCACTGACCACTGACCACACTGACCACTGACCATCACACTGACCATCGCACTGACCATCACACTGACCATCACACTGACCACTGACCATCACACTGACCATCATACTGACCATCGTACTGACCATTGTACTGACCATCACACTGACCATCACACTGATCACTGACCATCGCACTGACCATCACACTGACCATCGCACTGACCACTGACCATCGTACTGACCATCACACTGACCATCACACTGACCATCGCACTGACCATCGCACTGACCACTGACCACACTGACCACTGACCACACTGACCATCGCACTGACCACACTGACCATCGCACTGTCACACTGACCGTCACACTGACCATCACACTGACCACTGACCACGCTGACCACTGACCACGCTGACCATCACACTGACCATTGACCACACTGACCATCGCACTGACCACTGACCACACTGACCACTGACCATCGCACTGACCATTGACCACACTGACCATCGCACTGACCACTGACCACACTGACCACTGACCATCGCACTGACCATTGACCACACTGACCACTGACCACACTGACCATCGCACTGACCATCACGCTGACCATCGCACTGACCACTGACCATCGCACTGACCACACTGACCATCGCACTGACCATCACGCTGACCATCGCACTGACCACTGACCATCGCACTGACCACACTGACCATCGCACTGACCATCACACTGACCATTGACCACACTGACCATCGCACTGACCACTGACCACACTGACCACTGACCATCACACTATCGCACTGACCATCACACTGACCATCACACTGACCACTGACCATCACACTGACCATCACACTGACCATCGCACTGACCACTGACCATCATACTGACCATCACACTGACCATCGCACTGACCACTGACCATCATACTGACCATCGCACTGACCATCACGCTGACCATCACACTGACCATCGCACTGACCACTGGCCATCGCACTGAGCATCACACTGAGCATCACACTGACCATCCCTTTTCCCACTGACCATCACACTGACCATTGACTATTGCACTGGCCATCACACTGACCATCACACTGACCATCCATTTCCCCACTGACCATCACACTGACCATCCATTTCCCCACTGACCATCACACTGACCATCCATTTCCCCACTGACCACCACACTGACCGTTGTGTCCGCAGCTCCGGGTCCGTGCCAGCGCTTCCACGGCCGCTGTGGGCAGAACGTGGCGCTGGCGGCCGAGGGCCTGGGCGCCGCGCGCGTCTCCGGCTACTGCCACGGCCTCGTCTTCAGCCGCTCCCACCTGCGCCCCGGGGAGCTCTTCGAGGTGGGCGGGGCCGCGGGGCCACGCCCACTAACGGGCGTGGTCACCTGGCGGGGTGGGGAAAGGGCGCTGTCGCTTTAAGGGGTGGGTGTGGCCATTGCGGTCGTTGTGGGCGGGGTTACCTGGGAAGCCACGCCCCGAGGCGGGGCAAGAAAAGGGCGCTGTTCTTTTAAGGAAATGGGTGTGGCCATTTTGGGTGTGGCCATTGTGGGCGGGGTTATCTGGAGAAGCCACGCCCTGGGGTGGGGCAGGATTGAAAAAGGGGACTGTTGCTTTAAGGGGTGGGTGTGGTCCGTGTGGCCATTGTGGGCGGGGTTACCTGGCAAAGTCACGCCCCAGGGAGAGGCAGGATTGGAAAAGGGCACTGTCACTTTAAGAGATGGGTGTGGCCATTGTGGGTGGGGCATAGGGATAGGCCACACCCTCAATTAGCAAGCTTCCCCCCCCAGGTCAATTGGAACACCCCCAGGTGAGTTCTGGGCTCACCTGTGCCCCGCCCATCCCAGGGCTAAGCCCCGCCCACCCCAGGTGTGTTCATGGTTAAGCCCCGCCCATCCCAGAGCTAAGCCCCGCCCATTCTAAGTGCAATCAGGGCCCTCCCCTCACCCTCACCTGTCCCAGGTGTGTCCCTCACCTGTCCCACCCTCACCTGTCCATGTCTCACCTACCCACGTGCGCATTGAAGCCCTCGATGAGAGGTGGGCGGGGTCAGTATGGGTGGGGTTGTCCCAGCTGTGTCCCAGGTGTATCTCAGGTGTATCCCAGGTGTATCCCAGATGTATCTCAGGTGTATCTCAGGTGTATCTCAGGTATCTCAGGTGTATCCCAGGTGTATCCCAGGTGTATCCCAGGTGTGTCCCAGGTGTATCTCAGGTATCTCAGGTGTGTCCCAGGTGTATCTCAGGTGTATCCCAGGTGTATCTCAGGTGTGTCCCAGGTGTATCTCAGGTATCCCAGGTGTATCCCACCCTCACCTGTCCGTGTCTCACCTGCCCAGGTGCACATCGAGGCCCTGGAAGAGCGGTGGGCGGGGTCAGTGTGGGTGGGGCTGTCCCAGCTGTGTCCCACGTGTGTCCCTCACCTGTCCCACCCTCACCTGTCCGTGTCTCACCTGCCCAGGTGCGCATCGAGGCCCTGGACGAGCGGTGGGCGGGGTCTCTGCGGGTGGGGCTCACGGCCCTGCCCCCCCCCGGCCCCCCCGCCCTGCCCCCCTCCCTGCTGGACCTGCCGGCCCCGCCCACCTGGGCGGTGACGGGGGCCGAGGTGCGGCACAACGGCAGCCAGGTGCGGCACAACTACGGCGTCAGCCTGGACAGACTGACGGTCAGTGCCCACCTGGGGGGTTTGGGGTCACCTGGGGGAGGTTTGGGGGGGTTTGGAGTCACCTGGGGGAGGTTTGGGGGGGTTTGGGGTCACCTGGGCTCACCTGAGCTCACCTGGGGTTACCTGTGTGGGGTTTGGGCTCACCTGGGCAGTGAGCAGGGCCCAGGTGCGGCACAACTACGGCGTCAGCCTGGACAGACTGACGGTCAGTGCCCACCTGGGCTCACCTGGGGGGTGTGGGGTCACCTGGGGGAGGTTTGGGGTCACCTGGAGAGGGTTTGGGGTCACCTGGACTCACCTGGGGTCACCTGGGGGGGATTTGGGGTCACCTTGGGTCACCTGGGGATGGATCTGGGGGATAATTTGGGGTAAATTTGGGCTGTTTTGGGTTAAATTTCGTCTCTCTCAGGTGGGGAACCGGCTGGGGATGGATCTGGGGGATATTTTGGGTTAAATTTGGGTTATTTTGGGTTAAATTTGTGGCATTTTGGTCTCTCTCAGGTGGGGAACCGGCTGGGGATGGATCTGGGGGTGGTTTTGGGTTAAATTTGGGTTATTTTGGGTTAAATTTGTGGCATTTTGGTCTCTTTCAGGTGGGGAACCGGCTGGGCGTGCGGCGGGGCCCGGACGATTCCCTGCACCTGGTGGTGGACGGGCAGGACATGGGACCCGCGGCCACCGGGGTGGCCAAGGTAACACCTGGGCACACCTGGGCACACCTGGGGGCACCCAAAACACACCTGGGCACACCTGGGGGCACGCAAAACACACCTGGGCACACCTGGGGAGGGGTAAAACACACACCTGGGGAGGAAATACACACCTGGGGGCACCCAAAACACACCTGGGCACACCTGGGCACACCTGAGGGCACCTGGGGAGGGGTAAAACACACACCTGGGGAGGAAATACACACCTGGGGGCACCCAAAACACACCTGGGCACACCTGGGCACACCTGGGGGCACCCAAAACACACCTGGGCACACCTGAGGGCACCTGGGGAGGGGTAAAACACACACCTGGGGGGGGAAATGCACACCTGAGGGCACCCAAAACACAGCTGGGGGGCACCTGAAACACACCTGGGCACACCTGGGGGGGGAAATACACACCTGGGGGCACACCTGGGCACACTTGGGGACACCTGGGCACACCTGGGGGGGGAAATACACACCTGGGGGCACACCTGGGCACACTTGGGGGGCACAAACATACACCTGGGCACACCTGGGGTGGTGAAAACACACCTGGGGATACCTGGGCACACCTGGGGATACCTGAGGGCACACCTGGGGATGCCTGGGCACACCTGGGGGGGCTCAGTGGGTACTTGGGGGTACCTGGGGGTACCTGGGATACACCTGGGACACACCTGGGCGCACCTGAGGGGGACAAATACACACCTGGAGGTACCTGGGGCACACCTGGGATACACCTGGGCACACCTGGGGGCACCTGGAGCACACCTGGGATTCCCTTTGGCACACCTGGAGGCACTTGAGGCACATCTGGAACACACTTGGACACACCTGGGGCACACATGGGGCACACATGGGGATACCTGGGGGCACCCAAAACACACCTGGGCACACCTGGGCCACACCTGTGGGGGATTAACTGTCACCTGGGCACACCTGGGAAACACCTGAACACACCTGGGGCACACCTGGGGTACCCAAAACACACCTGGGCACACCTGGGGCACACCTGGGGGTACCCAAAACACACTTGGGCACACCTGGGCACACCTGGGGCACACTTGAGCATGCCTGGGGCACACCTGGGGTACTCAAAACACACCTGGGCACACCTGGGGGTACCCAAAACACACCTGGGCACACCTGGGCACACTCCATGACATCACCCCCCCCCTCTTTCCCATCACTTCCTGTTATGGGCGGGGCCATGCCATCACGCCCCGCCCCCTCTCTGACGCCACGCCCCCTCTGTGTGACGTCACAGAACGCGTTCGTGGCCCTGGACCTGTACGGGCGCGTCACCGCCGTGTCCATCGTCAGCGCGGGGGGCGGGGCCGGCGGGGGCGGGGACGGCCCCTCCCCCACCCCCAGCCCCTCCCCCAGCCCCTCCCCCAGCGAGGCCCCGCCCCTCGCCCCGCCCGGAGGGGACGGAGGAGATTGGGTGAGAGGGGGAGGGGTGGGGCTGGGAGGGAACTGGGATGGAACTGGGAGGGGGGATTGGATTATACTGGGATATACTGGGAGGGGATTGGATTATACTGGGATGGAACTGGGAGGGGATTGGATTATACTGGGATATACTGGGATATACTGGGATGGGACTGGGGTATACTGGGATATACTGGGATATACTGGGAAGGGGTTGGATTATACTGGGATATACTGGGATATACTGGGATGGGACTGGGATGGACTGGGACATACTGGGAGGGGACTGGGTTATACTGGGATATACTGGGATATACTGGGATGGGACTGGGGTATACTGGGATATACTGGGAGGGGATTGGGATGGACTGGGATGAACTGGGAGGGACTGGGATGGACTGGAATATACTGGGAGAGAAGTGGGTTATACTGGGATGGACTGGGAGGGGATTGAGGGAGACTGGGAGGGGACTGGGATTAACTGGGTTGTACTGAATTGCACTGGTTTGTACTGGGAGGGACTGGGATGGACTGGTTCATACTGGGAGGGAACTGGGGGGGCCTGGGTTATACTGGTTTGTACTGGGCGGGGCTGTGCTTGCACTGGGGGGGTTTTTGCTCCCCCAGTTTCCTCCAAAATCCCCTTCAAACTCCCCCCAAAATCCCATTTAAATTCTACAAAATCCCCCAGATTTTTCCCAAAACCCCAAATTTTCCATTTTTAACCCCAATCCAGGGTCCCCCCACATTCCTGGGCTGCCACAGCAAGAACATCGAGCTGTCCCTGCCCCATTTAACCCTTTAAATCCCCCCCAAAACCCCTAAAAGCCCCCTAAAAAACCCCAAAAATTCCCTTTAAATCCCAATAAACTTCCCCAAACTCCCCCCAAAGCCCCAAATTTCATGGTTTTAACCCCAATCCAGGGTCCCCCCACGTTCCTGGGGTGCCACGGCAAGAACATCGAGCTGTCCCTGCCCCACTTTAACCCTTTCAAACCCCCCAAAGTTCCATTTAAACCCTATAAAACCCCCTAAAATCCCATTTAAACCCCCCAAAATCCCATTTCAATTCCCCAAAACCCCAAATTTTGGTTTTTTCACCCCAATCCAGGGTCCCCCCACGTTCCTGGGGTGCCACGGCAAGAACATCGAGCTGTCCAACGGCGCCCGCACGGCCACGCGCGTCAGCAGCTACAACCAGGGGCTGGTGCTGGTGGGGCAGCCCCTCCCCCCGGGGCGGCTCTTCCAGGTAACCATGGCAACGGCCCTGACGTCAGCGGTGACGTCATCAGGGGCGGGGCGATGTCATACGGGCAGGGGGTGGCGGCGCAGGGGGTGCGGTGATGTCACAGGGGATGGGCCAATGGGGATCCGGGAGTCCTGTGATGTCATCAGGGACACTGTGATGTCACAGGGGGTGGGGAAATGGGAGTAGGGGAGGTGATGATGTCATAGGGGGTGTGGTGATGTCACACAAGATGGGCCAATGGGGATCTAGGAGTCTTGTGATGTCATGGGGGATGTGGTGATGTCACACAGGATGGGCCAAAGGGGATCTGGGAGTCCTGTGATGTCATAGGGGGTGATGGTGATGTCATAGGGGGACACAGTGATGTCATATGGGATGGGCCAATGGGGATCCAGGATTCCTGTGATGTCATTAGGGACACTATGATGTCATGGGGGGTGGGGAAATGGGAATAGGGGATGGTGGTGATGTCATAGGGGAGGTGATGATGTCATAGGGGTGGTTGTGATGTCATAGAGAAGTTGCTGATGTCATAGAGAAGTTGCTGATGTCATAGGGATTGGGCAGTGAGAATCTGGAACAGCTGTGATGTCATTAGGGATGGTGGTGATGTCATAGGGGCTGGAAAAATGGGTATAGAGGAGGTGATGATGTCATAGAGGATTGTGGTGATGTCATACAGGATGGGCCAATGGGGATCTGGGATTCCTGTGATGTCATAGGGGATGGGGTGATGTCATAGGGCATGGGCCAATGGGGGATTGGGGAGATGATGATGTCATAGGGAACAGAGTGATGTCATGGTGGGGCTGTGGGACACTGAGGGAGGAGCAACAACATCACCACATCCCTGATGACATCACTGCTGACGTCACAGGTGCAGATCGACGCCCTGAACCCCCAATGGAGCCAAATGGGGGGGGGGCTTGGGTGGGGTTATTTTGGGGAGGGTGGGGTCTGTGTGACGCTGGGGGTAAATGATGACATCACCACGTCACGATGACATCACTGATGACATCACTGCTGACGTCACAGGTGCAGATCGACGCCCTGAACCCGCAGTGGAGCCGATTTAAGGGGGATTTGGGTTCATTTGGGGGGGTTTCTGTGACACTGGGGGGCACAGTGGGACATTGGGGGTTACTGATGACGTCATATCACCACAATGACGTCACGATGACATCACAGGTGCAGATCGACGCCCTGAACCCGCAGTGGAGCCGATTTTGGGGGGGGGCTGGGTGGGGCTGTTTTGGGGAGGGTGTGGTCTGTGGGACACTGGGGGTTAATGATGACATCACCACGTCACGATGACGTCACCGATGACATCACAGGTGCAGATCGACGCCCTGAACCCGCAGTGGAGCTCCTCCCTGGCCCTGGGGGTCACCGGGGCCCCCCCCGGCCGCTCCCCCCTGCCGGCCTGCGCCCACGGCCTCAAACGGCCGGCCTGGATCCTGCAGCGGAGAGCCGTGTTCCACAACGCCAGGAAGGTGGGAAAGCACCCCAAAAACACCCCGAAAATATCCTGAAAATATCCCCAAAATATCACTGAAATATCCCCAAAATATCCCCAAAATATCCCCCAAAACACCCTGAAAATATCCCCAAAATATCACTGAGATGTCCCCAAAAATATCCCCGAAATGTCCCAACCGCGGCCTGGATCCTGCAGCGGAGAGCCGTGTTTCACAATGCCAGGAAGGTGGGAAAAATACCCCAAAATATCCCAAACACACCCCGAAAATATCCTCAAAATATCCCCAAAATATCACTGAAATTACTGCAAAAATATCCCCAAAAATATCCCCAAAATTACTGCAAAAATATCCCCCAACCCTGGCCTGGATCCTGCAGCGGAGAGCCGTGTTCCACAACGCCAGGAAGGTGGGAAAGCACCCCAAAAACACCCCGAAAATATCCTGAAAATATCCCCAAAATATCACTGAAATATCCCCAAAATATCCCCAAAATATCCCCCAAAACACCCTGAAAATATCCCCAAAATATCACTGAGATGTCCCCAAAAATATCCCCGAAATGTCCCAACCCCGGCCTGGATCCTGCAGCGGGGAGCCGTGTTCCGCAACGCCAGGAAGGTGGGAAAACACCCCAAAATATCCACCAAAATTTCACTTTTAACCCCAAATTTCACTTTTACCCCGATTTTAACCCAAATTTTCCCGTTTTTCCCCAGCTCCGGGACCTGCCCGGCCCCTCCCTGGAGCTGCTCCCGGCCGGGACTTGTGACCCCAAAACCCCCCCAGAACCCCCAAAAACCACCTCGAAACTCACCCAAAACTGCCCCAAAACCTCACTAAATTTGACTTTTATCCCCAAATTTCACTTTTAACCCCAATTTTAACCAAATTTTCCCCCCAGATCCGGGATCTCCCCGGCCCCTCCCTGGCGCTGCTCCCGGCCGGGACCTGAGACCCCAAAACCCCCTAAGAACCCCCTCAAATGACCCCAAATCCCCCCCAGACCATTCCAGACTCCCAAAATTTCACTTTTAACCCCGATTTTAACCAAATTTTCCCATTTTTCCCCCAGATCCGGGATCTCCCCGGGCCCTCCCTGGAGCTGCTCCCGGCCGGGACCGTCCTGGGGCTCCTGGTGGACGGGGGGGGGCGGCTGCACCTCTTCATCAACGGCCGCGACCAGGGCGCCGTGGCCGGGGGGGTGCCCAGCCCCTGCTACGTCCTGCTGGACCTCTACGGGCAGTGCCAGCAGGTGGGGAACCCCGAAAAACCCCAAAAACACCAAAACAAACCCAAAAAACCCCGCTGAAATCGGCCCGGGGGGTCCCGAAATACAGAAACCCCAAAAATCGGGGAAAAACCCCCAAATTCAGGGGTTGAACCATCCCAGACTCACCTGGGCACGGCTGTGGGGTCTTTACGGGCAGTGCCAGCAGGTGGGGAACCCCGAAAACCCAAAAACACCAAAACAAACCCAAAAAACCCATTGAAATCGGCCTGGGGGGTCCCGAAATACAGAAACCCCAAAAATCCCCAAAATCGGGAAAAAAGCCCCAAAATCCCCAAATTCTGGGGTTGAAAACACCTGGGCACGGCTGGTGAGGGGCACCCCGAAAATGGGGAACCCCAAAATCCCCAAAACAAACCCAAAAAACCCCGCTGAAATCGGCCCGGGGGTCCCGAAATACAGAAACCCCAAAAACCCCCAAAATCGGGGAAAAAGCCCAAAAATCCCCAAATTCTGGGGGGTTGAACACAGCTGGGTGTCCCTGCTGGACCTCTACGGGCAGTGCCAGCAGGTGAGGGGCACCCCGAAAACGGGGAACCCAAAAAAACCCAAAACAAACCCAAAAAACCCCAAAACAAACCCAAAAAACCCCGCTGAAATCGGCCCGGGGGGTCCCGAAATACAGAAACCCCAAAAATCGGGGAAAAACCCCCAAATTCAGGGGGTTGAACCATCCCAGACTCACCTGGGCACGGCTGTGGGGTCTCTTTACGGGCAGTGCCAGCAGGTGGGGAACCCCGAAAACCCAAAAACACCAAAACAAACCAAAAAACCCCATTGAAATCGGCCTGGGGGTCCCGAAATACAGAAACCCCAAAAATCCCCAAAATCGGGAAAAAGCCCCAAAAATCCCCAAATTCTGGGGGTTGAAAACACCTGGGCACGGCTGGTGAGGGGCACCCCGAAAATGGGGAACCCCAAAATCCCCAAAACAAACCCAAAAAACCCCGCTGAAATCGGCCCGGGGGGTCCCGAAATACAGAAACCCCAAAAACCCCCAAAATCGGGGAAAAAGCCCAAAAATCCCCAAATTCTGGGGGTTGAACACAGCTGGGTGTCCCTGCTGGACCTCTACGGGCAGTGCCAGCAGGTGAGGGGCACCCCAAAAATGAGGAACCCCAAAAAACCCCAAAAATCCCAAAAACCCAAAACAAACCCAAAAAACCCATTGAAATCGGCCCGGGGGGTCCCGAAATCCAGAAACCCCAAAAACTCCCAAAATCGGGGAAAAAGCCCCAAAAATCCCAAATTCTGGGGGTTGAAAACACCTGGGCACGGCTGCTGGACCTCTACGGGCAGTGCCAGCAGGTGGGGAACCCCAAAAACCCAAAAACACCAAAAAATCCTAAAAAACCCCGCTGAAATCGGCCCGGGGGGTCCCGAAATCCAGAAACCCCAAAAATCGGGGAAAAACCCCCAAATTCAGAGAAAAAATCCCCAAAAAATCTGCGGGTTGGATGCACCTGGGCACACCTGGGCAGTGCCAGCAGGTGAGGGGGCACCCAAAAACGGGGGACCCCCAAAACCCCAAAAATCAGCGAGCTGGAAAAGCCCCAAAATCAGGGACCCCAAAAATCCCGAAAAACGCCAAGAATGAGGGACCCCAAAAAGAAGATTGGGGGACCCCAAAAAGGGTCTGGAATCCCCCCAAAGTTTTCAGGATCTCCCCAAAAAGGGTCGAGGACCCCCAGAAAAGATCAGGGACCCCCAAAAATGGATCAGGGACCCCCCCCCCCCTAAAAAAAGGGTTTGGGACCCCCAAAAAAATGAGTCAAGGAGTCCCAAAAAGGATCAGGGACCCCCAAAAATGGAATCAGGGACCTCCCCAAAAAAGGGTCTGGGACTCCCAAAATATTTTGGTACCCCAAAAAGTGTTTTGGGATCCCCCCCAAAAGGGTTTAGGGACCCCCAGAAGGGTCTGGGACCCCCCAAAAACGGTTTGAGACCCCCAAAAAGGGTTTTGGGATCCCCTAAAAATCCCTGGACCCCCTAAATTGCGTCCAGTGCCCCAAAAAGGGATTGGGGACCCCAAAATGGGGTTGGGACACCCCAAAAAAGGGTCTGGGGACCCCAAAAAAAGATTCGAGGACCACCATAATGGTTTGGGGACCCCGAAAAGGGTCTGGGACCCAAAAAGGGTCAAGGACCCCCAAAAAGAGTCTGGGACCCCCAAAAAAGGATCAAGGACCCCCCAAAAAGGGGTTGGGGACCCCAAAAAAGGGATCAGGGACCCCCAAAAAGGGATCTGGGACCCCCCAAAATGGGGTTTGGGACTCCCAAAATGGCGTCTGGACCCCCTAAAATGGGGTGGGACCCCCCAAAATGGGTTTAGGACCCCCAAAATGGAGTCTGGGACCCCCAAAATTGGGTCTGGGACCCCCAAAATGGAGTCTGGGACCCCCAAAATGGGTTTGGGACCCCCAAAATGGGGTCTGGGACCCCCAAAATGGGTCTGGGATCCCCAAAATGGGTTTGGGACCCCCAAAATGGAGTCTGGGACCCCCAAAATTGGGTCTGGGACCCCCCAAATGGGGTTTGGGACCCCCAAAATGGGGTCCAGGCCCCACTGAAAGGTTTAGGACCACCTAAAATGGGGTTTGGGACCCCCAAAATGGGTCTGGGACCCCCCAAAATGGGTTTGGGACCCCCCAAAATGGGGTCTGGGATCCCCAAAATGGGGTCTGGGACCCCCAAAATGGGTCTGGGACCCCCAAAATGGGGTCTGGGACCCCCCAAAATGGGGTCCAGGCCCCACTGAAAGGTTTGGGACCCCCTAAAATGGGGTTTGGGACCCCCCAAAATGGCGTCTGAGACCCCCTAAAATGGGGTGGGGACCCCAAAATGGAGTCTGGGACCCCCAAAATGGGTTTGGGACCCCCCAAAATGGGGTCTGGGACCCCCAAAATGGGTCTGGGACCCCCAAAATGGGGTCCAGGCCCCACTGAAAGGTTTGGGACCCCCTAAAATGGGGTTTGGGACCCCCCAAAATGGCGTCTGAGACCCCCTAAAATGGGGGTGGGACCCCCAAAATGGAGTCTGGGACCCCCAAAATGGGTTTGGGACCCCCCAAAATGGGGTTCTGGGACCCCCAAAATGGGTCTGGGACCCCCAAAATGGGGTCCAGGCCCCACTGAAAGGTTTGGGACCCCTAAAATGGGGTCTGGGACCCCCAAAATGGGGTCTGGGACCCCCAAAATGGATGTCTGGGATCCCCAAAATGGGGTCCTGCCCCCCAAATCCCGTTGTCCCCCCCAGGTGACGATCGTGGCCGAGGGCCCGGCCGGGGGGGGCTCCCCCAGTGGGGACCCCCGAAATCGGGGGGACGTGGAGAAGGCCGACGTGGTGGATGGTGAGGGGGGACCCCGAAATTGGGGTGGGGGGACCCCAAAATCTGGGGGGATCTGGGAGGGAAAGATCCCAAACTTTGGAGCTTTGGGAGGGGAGGATCCTGAAATTTGGGGGTTTGGGAGCCCAGAATTGGGAGGGACCCCAAAATCTGGGGGATCTGGGACCCTGAAATTGGGGGGAATCCTGAAATTTGGGGGGCTTGGGAGCCCAAAATTGTGGGGGACCCCAAAATTGGGGGATCTGGGAGCCACAAAATGAAGGGAACCCTGAAATTTGGGGGGTTGGGAGGGCTGGGAGCCCCAAAATCTGCGGGTGACCCCGAAATTTGGGGGGTCTGGGAGGGAAAGATCCCAAAATCTGGGGGTTTGGGACTCCAAAGTTGAGGTGACCCCAAAATTCAGGGGGGTCTGAGAGGGGGCAATTCTGAAATTTGGGGTTTGGGACCCGAAATTGGAGGTGACTCTGGAATTCGGGGGGTCTGGGAGGCTCAAAATGGGGGGAACCCCAAAATTGGGGGGGGGTCTGAGAGGGGGGAACCCCAAAATTTGGGGAGTTTGGGATGGGGAGATCCCAAAATTTGGGGAGTTTGGGACCCGAAATGGCGGGAACCCCAAAATTTGGGGGGTCTAGAAGGGGAGGAGCCCAAAATTGGGGGGGTCTGGGAGGGCTGGGATTCCAAAATCTGGGGGGGGGACCCCAAAATTTGGGGAGTTTGGGATGGGGAGATCCCAAAATTTGGGGTTTGGGACCCTGAAATTGGGGGGACCCCAAAATTGGGGGTGTGGGAGAATCTAGGACCCCCAAAATTTGGTGGGTGACCCCAAAATTTTGGGAGTTTTGGACCCCAAAATTTTGAGAACCCCAAAATCCGGGGTGTTTTGAGGAGGGGGAGCCCAAATTTAGGGGTGACCCTGAAATTTTGGGGTTTGGGAGGTGCTGGGACCCCAAAATTTGGGGAAATGGGGTCTGGGAACCCCAAATTTGGAGGCTGAGACCCCAAATTGAGCAGAGACCCCCAAATTTGGGGGTTTGGAGGTGCAGCAACCCCAAAATCAGAGCAATTGGGGCACCTGAACCCCTAAAATTTGATTTTTGGGGGGCTCAAACCCCAAATTTTGGGCAGAAAATCCCGATTTTTGGGGCTTGGGGAGCCTCTGGAAGGGCCAAATTTTGGCCAGGGGGGTTTTGGGACCCCCCCGATTTTTTGGGGGGCTCCTGGGTGGTCTCTGAGCCCCCCCTGTGCCCCCCAGGGGTGAAGGAGAGCCTTTGTTGGGGACCCCCGCGCCCCCCCAGCCCTGCCCCTACCAGGCCCTGTGTGCCGGTTCAAGGACCTGCTGCTGCTGCCAGGTGGGAACTGGGGGGTCCTGGGGGATTTTGGGGTCCTGAGGGGATTTTGGGGGTCCTGGGGGATTTTAGGGGTTTGGGTGGGATTTGGGGGATTTTGGGGGGTTTTGGGGGATTTGGGGGGCCCTGTGTGCCCCATTCAAGGACCTACTGCTGCTGCCAGGTGGGAACTGGGGGGTCCTGGGGGATTTTGGGGTCCTGATGGGGTTTGGTGGGAGTTTGGGGGTCCGGGTGGGATTTGGGGGGATTTTGGGCGGTTTTTGGGGGGATTTTGGGGGGTTTTGGGGGTTCTGTGTGCCCCATTCAAGGACCTGCTGCTGCTGCCAGGTGGGATTTGGGGGTCCTGGGGGATTGTGGGGGTCCTGGGGCAGTTTTGGGGGTCCTGGGGGAATTTAGGGGTTTGGGTGGATTGGGGGATTTTGGGGGGATTTTGGGGGTTTTTGGGGGGATTTTAGGGGGTTTGGGTGGGATTTGGGGGATTTTGAGGGGTTTTGGGGGTTTTGGGGGCCCTGTGTGCTCGATTCAAGGACCTGCTGCTGCTGCCAGGTGGGAACTGGGGGGGTCCTGGGGGATTTTGGGGTCCCTGATTGGGGTTTGGTGGGAGTTTGGGGGTCCCGGGTGGGATTTGGGGGGTCCTGCGGGGTCCTGGGGGATTGTGGGGGGTTCTGGATGGGGTTTGGGGGATTTTGGGGGGTTTTGGGGGTCCCTCATGGGATTTTGTGCGAGTTTGGGGGGGTCCTGGGTGGGATTTCAGGGTGATTTGGGGGGATTTTGGGGGTCCCCGATGAGGTTTTGGGGGGTTTGGATGGGATTTGAGGGGGATTTGGGGGGTCCTGGGTGGGATTTTGGGGGTCCTGAGGGGATTTTGGGGTTCCTGAGGGGGTTTTGGCGTCCCTGGGGTTGGGTTGGGGGGTCCTGGGGGGGATTTGGGGGTCTTGAGGGGAATTGGGGCAGTTTGGGGGGTCCTGGGAGGGATTTTGGGGGGGATTTCGGGGTCCCTGACGCACGTTTTAGGGATTTCTGTGTCCCCAACCCCATTTTCGGGGTCCCCAATCCCATTTTTGGTGCCCCGACCCCATTTTTGGGGTCGCTGCCCCCATTTCGGGGGTCCCCGACCCCATTTTGGGGGTCTCTGACCCCATTTTTCGTGTCCCCAGTCCCATTTTTTGGGTCCCTGACCCCATTTCAGGGGTCCCCAATCCCATTTTCGGGGTCCCTAACTCCATTTATTGGGTCCCCAACCCCATTTTTGGGGTCCCTGACCCCATTTTCGATGCCCCTCACCTCATTTTTGGGGTCCCTGACCCCATTTTGGTGTCCCCGACCCCATTTTGGGGGTCCCTGACTGCATTTTGGGGGTCCCCAACCCCATTTTTGGGTCCCCAACACCATTTTTGGTGCCCCTCACCCCATTTTTGGTGTCCCTGACCCCATTTCGGGGGTCCCTGACCCCATTTTTGGTGTCCCTGACCCCATTTTTGGGTTCCCTGACCCCATTTTTGGTGTCCCTGACCCCATTTTGGGGGTCCCTGACCCCCATTTTTGGGTTCCCTGACCCCATTTTTGGTGTCCCTGACCCTATTTTGGGGGTCCCTGACCCATTTTTGGGTTCCCTGACCCCATTTTGGGGGTCCCTGACCCCATTTCGGGGGTCCCTGACCCCATTTTTGGTGTCCCTGACCCCATTTCAGGGGTCCCTGACCCCATTTTGGGGGTCCCTAACCCCATTTTTGGGTCCCCAACCCCATTTTTGGGGTCCCTGACCCCATTTTCGGTGCCCCTGACCCATTTCGGGGGTCCCTGACCCCATTTTTGGTGTCCCTGACCCCATTTTCGGGGTCCCTGACCCATTTCGGGGGTCCCTGACCCCATTTTCGGGCTCCCTGACCCCGTTTCGGGGGCCTGCCCCCCATTCCCCCCCCAGACGAGTACTTCGCCCCCGAGCCGCGGCGCAGCCGCTGCTTCTGCCAGGGCTGTGAGCGGGGGGGGGCGACCCCCGGGACCCCCGGAGCCCCCCCTGCCCCTGGGCTGGTGCCGCTTCAGCCTCAGGTACCGGGGGGGGTCCTGGGTGGGATTTGGGGGGGTTTGGGGTGGGGATTTGGGGGTCCTGGGTGGGATTTGGGGGTCCTGGGTGGGTTTTGGGGGGTCCTGGGTGGGATTTGGGGGGGCTTGGGTGGGATTTGGGGGGGTTTGGGTGGATTTGGGGGTCTGGGTGGGATTTGGGGGCTTGGGTGGGATTTGGGGGGTCCTGGGTGGGATTTGGGGGGTCCTGGGTGGGTTTTGGGGGGTCTTGGGGGGATGTTGGGGGTCCTGGGTGGGATTTGGGGGGTCCTGGGTGGGAGTTGGGGGGTCCTGGGTGGGATTTGGGGGTCCTGGGTGGGATTTGGGGGGGCTTGGGTGGGATTTGGGGGGGTTTGGGTGGGATTTGGGGGGTCCTGGGTGGGATTTGGGGGGTCCTGGGTGGGTTTTGGGGGTCCTGGGTGGGATTTGGGGGGTCCTGGGTGGGATTTGGGGGGGTTTGGGGGAGGATTTAAGGGGATTTGTGGGAGGTTTGGGGGGTCTTGGGTGGGTTTTGAGGTCCTTGGGGGATTTGGGGGAGGTTGGGAGGATTTTGGGGGGGTTTAAATGAGGTTTTGGTGGGCTTTGGGGGGAATTGGAGGGTCCTGGGTGGGTTTTGGGGGATTTGGGAGGATTTTGGGGTATTTGGGGGGGCTTTAAAGTTAGGTTTGGGGGATTTGAGGGGAGGTTTTGGGGGTCTTGGGGGGTTTGGAGGGAGTTGGGGGGTCCTGGGTGGTTTTGGGGGCGGCTGGGGGGGAATTGAGGGGTCCCCGGGGAATTGGGGGAGTTTGGGGGGATTTGGGGGGCTTTAAAGGGGGTTTGGGGTGGAACTGGGGTTGTTTAAAGGGGTTTGAGGGGAATTGGGGGGTCCTGGGAGGAGGTGTGGGGGTGTTTGGGGGGTCCTGGGGGCGGAAATTGAGGTGAATTGAGGGGTCCCGGGGAGGGGCTGGAGCGTCTTGGGTGGGTTTTGGGTTGGTTTGAGGGGTAATCGGGGGGTCTGGGGGGTCTAAGGGGTTTTTGGGGGGATTTCAGGGGTCCTGGGATGGTTGAAATGAGGTTTGAGCAGGTCCTGGGTGGGCTTGAGGGCGACTGGGGGGGTCCTGGGGGGGTTGGGGGCAATTGGATGGTTCTGGAGAGGGTTTGGGGGCTCCTGGGTTAATTTTGGGGTTCCTGGGGTAATTTTGGGTTCCCGGGTTTAATTTTGGGGTTCCCGGGTTAAATTTCGGGGTTCCTGGGGTAATTCTGGGGAGGTGTTGGGTGATTTTTAGCGGTTTCCGGGTGGTTTTTGGGCTGGTTTTTGGGGTTTTTGGGGT